CCTCCAGCCACATACACAAAAGATTAGTGAAGCCATATCCAATATCACAGACTGTCAGGTCCCTTCCTAGTCGATGCGCTTAGGTCGGAAACCAATCTATATGCTAAGATTACATCATCAAAATAAAGATATACCCAGGTTTGCCTTTACATGCTTAGTATTTCCTTTCGTTATTTAACATTGAAGGAACAACCTTTTGATAATTTCTATGGTATTTTTTTCTCACATTTGAGTCCCTTATTTTCTTTTTAAAGCAGTCAAAGTTTATAAACCCAGCGGAGAGTCAGCGCCCACCCAGAGTTTCTCCGCTGGCTTGTCCTCAATGTCTGGCAGGTGATAGATCAGACACGGATGTTAACACGTGTTCCTCTGAAGAGGGGTGGATTTAGAGACGCGCTGACCTCTTTACAACCTCCTTGTACTCCAAACTCGCATTCATTTACACACATGTCAAATGTATATCACTGCTGACAGGCGTCTCGGAACGGGACCATGAGTTACGCGCTTCCCGCTTGCATGTCATCTTGGTTTCTTCTTTTCCTCTGTTGCCTTCACAGCTATCTGTGTGGAAACCCCAAACTGAGCACATCAGTGGTCCTGAATTGACCCAGCCTCGCACATGTTGTTGATTAGAGGGGGATTTGTGGTCAGGGTGGCTTTGTGTTAAACATGATGAAGGGAACCATGCCAGTGTTCACAGTTGTGGGAGAACAACTCTGGCCCTGAAAGGACTGGAGCAGGTGGGGGCCCCGTCTGTCCCCTTACATTCCTCCGGATTTCTTCAGCCCACCCAGCAATCAAACAAAATTCATCCAATACCAAATCCATACTGTAACTCTTCCCAGACTAACATACTCACCCTTCAGCAGTTGCAATGAAAGGGCAAGGCCTGTGTGCTTAGCTGATGGTGAGTGTGTGTTCAGGAGGAGGAGAGGGCGGGGGTGTTGCGGTGCGTCCCTCTGATTTTACCCATCTAAAATAGGGAGCTCCTAATCTCCCTTTGGCAGCGGTGGCCAGGCAGCCACTTCTGACACATTCTGCAGAAAGAAGCGCTCCTGACAGGTGAGGAGCTGAAAATAGTTGCGTGAGACTCACACACCTATTCACACACATGCATGAATATGCGTTTAGCGTGCACACATCGCTAAATGGGCCACATGCGCATCAGCATCTGTATGATTGGATCTCTGCAGAGATATCTGCATAAAAACAAAGTTAATACAACCATGGGAGGTTCAAGAATTTAGGGAAATTTGTTTTAGAAGGCGAAGTGTGTATGCCTGTTATAGGCATAAGGTTAATAAAAAAAGATCACGCATTCTCTTTGTCATGTTTCTATGTAATTATTTTAATTTAAATACAGGAAAGAGACAAATATAGGCCTGGTAAAGAATAAATTACATTGTATTTATAAAAATAGCAATATTTAATTATCATTTCTTTATTTTCTTTATAGAAAAAAAATCACATCTTCCTTGATTTTGTGGTAGATTTATTCTCTGAGTAATTTTAACCTTTTTAAACTATCAAAACTAACAGACCAGGCATCCTGTGATAAAAACAATCATGCCAGTAGAGGTTTCGAGCACTTATCGCTCTGCTCCTTTAGAGTACCAAAGGTATAAATTAATCTCTGATTAATTAGATGGGGCTTTGTGATTGCCAATGGTAATTCTGAAATAGTGTTACCTTTATAAGAATACTGGATTGGCTCTTTTATTTCCCGAGGACATCCATTTTGTGTCTAATGTGTCTATTTCAACTGGAATTACTGTATTATAGTGTAGCTTTTTTAAATCAAGTGAAAAGTGAAGTAGCTGTCTTTCAGCACCTTGAATGCCAGTAAGAAGCAGCTGCTTGCCTACCTAAAACAATCTGAAAAAAACTATAGGCACTCTGTCACTTTTTCAGTGTGTGATATATGAAGAATTTAAACAGCTGGGGAAGATGGCCATAAATTCATCTTTTGAAACTGGATAATTTTAAAACTTAGAATGGTGCAAACTCATCCATTGACGGAACTTGCACGAATGCCGCTCCCTGACAATTACATCCTTTTCACCAACCTCTCATTCCCGAGAAAATACTTTGAGCAATCATACAAATGAGCAAAAATAATGTTTCAGTTGTTTTTGCTACCACTTTTCTAATGTTACCCTGACTAATGTTTAATAAGTTTGCAGGGTTGCTGGCTCATCAAGTTTTAGAAACTTGCCAAACTTATAAAATAAAATTGAAAATTAAAAACATATGTTAGTATATATCTAAATATCCAGTTTACACATTCTTCCTTTTCTAACAGACCAGTAATGATTTAATGAATGTATAGACTCTAGATGCATTGCAGGGTTTTAGTCAAAAGGGACAAATAAAAGGCTATTTTGAAGATATTTCTCAGTAAAAACGTACATAATGTCTCTTTAAATGAACTGTTTCCCAGCTTTAAATGACCTGAGAATTTCAAAATGTAGGAAAGCAAAATTAGTATGAATAAAAAACAGCAAAAAAAGATATAGAGTACATAAAAACTCCAGAAATGATTAAAACATTTCTTTCTCTGAGCTTCTTGGCATCAATAAAGATAATAAATGTGACAGGGATTCCTGTCATCTCTGTCACTTATATCAAAAATAATCTCTTCATCAGCACACATATAAAATCAATCATAATCGGGATAGACTGAAGGTGTTGCTACACAAAGTGCACATCTATTTTACTTTGTTTTAAAAATGTGGACAAATATTGCCATGCAGCATGAAAACTGATACTAAAGAAAGTTGTATAGAGTGGTGCAGATTATAATCCCCTCAATTCTGCAACAAATGGCCTTTTCCCCTTGGGATGCTGATCCCCAGTATTGCTTCTTATCACATTGTTGGAGAATATAACAAAGTACTCCGAAGATCAGACAGACACAGCTGTATCAGGGTGGAGATGTGCACCTGATGCATGAAGGAAAGAGAAGCTTTCAGTAGACCTGAAACTGGAACTAAGTAGCTATTATTTCCTGTCAATGATTCATGAGTCAGTTCATACAGACCGTACAGACCTTGGAACTCAAACTGGCCTGTCTGGTCACTGGTTGTTTTCTGCAGCCATACAATATGATCCAGCAGGTCGCAGTGTTGATATTCAAAGTGGTAAAAGTGGTTGGCCCTCCTGTCTGTATAATAATACATTTATTATTTATACCTGCTGAATATGCAATATATCGCACTTACTTATCCATCACTTTCTTACAGTAATTCTATGCATTCTAGAAAAATAACTTTGAGTTGAGTTATTTGGAAGAGACAGGTACCCTGCCCAACAGAGATAGGCACCAGAACCCAACAACATTATTAATGGAGGGAAGGAATGTTAAAGTTTTTTTTACATCAGTTACAGGTACACGTGCTAATATTACTGAGTTAGGAAAGTATTTTAAGATTATCCTTATTTAGACAAGCATGAAACAATGTTTTTTTAAATGTTGCATCATTAATCTTCATTTACCTCTAAGATAAATGTTAAAAACAGCAGCCCAAACTCCATCTACTGCAAACCCTTCTTCTGGCTGCCTAACTGACTAATTAAAATCGCCTCCACATGTGTTCAAAGAACAAGAAGTCTATTTGCAAGCCTTATTGATTACTTTAAGGCGTACAAATGGAATACTGTGTTAGAAGAGGGGCTCTCGATTTAGCTTCAATCTGCCAGGCATAAAATGATCTCACTGTGTTTGCTGGGAAGAATGAGCTCCCTTCGGGCACGCTGGGTAATTAGGTTAGTGGATAGTCGGTGTCAGGAAATTGAAAGACCATCCTAATCGGATTCTTTTGTTTCCAAGGGAATCAAAGGAATTTATGTGCGTCGCTGGGAAATCTCACACGATTCAATTCTGCTTGACCATGTAAAATCTGTTTGCTCTCCCTCAGTCCTCAAACAAGTTTTAATGCGAGCTTGTAAATTCAGCACATAAGGTGCATCGAGCCTTTTGTCCTTTGTGATGGCTTTGGAGATAATCCCTGACGTGTCAGGAGTGTATGCTCAAATCTCCAAAGGACAAGCCTTCTTTAGAGCTAAAAAAGAGCTTACTCTTTAAAGAATCAGTCTTTTTTATGTTAGATATTATAAAATAATAAAAATCTTTGCACCAATAAATCAGCCAATGGTTAATATTTGCTAGCTTTTCAAAAATCAGTTTATTTTAGTTTCTCTTAAATGGATCACTTAAAGCTCAAACAAAACACTAATTGATTAAACATAAGAATTATTTCTAACATGATAATGTTAAAAACAACGCATATGTCTTATTTTGATTTTGATATACCGGTAGTATTATAGACTGAAGTACAAAAAAAAAAAACATATCCCCAGTAGCTCTTGATCACTTATTACACAGTATAATCTTCCTTTATTGTGTCTTGTAGTATAACTTTTGAACAATTAGAATTATAGTTTTGTTGCATATTATTTGAACAATGTGTTTTTGGCTCCTGAAAATATTTCCAAACAGATTAATTTATCTGGGAAATATGGAAAGTACATAGTGACATTCTCTCAGTAGTTGAATAGCAGTTTGCAGGACCATGTAGGGGAGGGGGCCATATAACTTGAGATAACTCTGATCACTATGCACTCTCTCTAACATCCCCTAACAAGAACAAAAATGAAAGGACAATTCTGTGTGACAGAAATTTTTGTGCCTTTATTCCATCTCAGGTTACGGATTAGCATCTTATGCTATGACAGGTGTTTGGTTATTATTCAGAAGTGGGTATAAGCTTGCAATCCCTTCATGTTCTTCTGGATTTTACCAAATCTGTGCATCTTTGTGACAAATAAATTGGGAAGTTGGGCCAAAGTTATTTGAGTTTTAATGTATTACACTTATCAGTTTAAACATTTTGATCCAAACAACATTTTGATATGTCAAACAGTGAAGTTTCTATTTTTTTTTTTTGCTTTCTTAGGCTCATCATCCCATTCTGATTTGTTTTTTTTCTTCTGTTCTGCAGGTGTGCGTCTGGACCGAGTGAGAGGTGGGAGACAGAAGTATAAACGTAGGTTAGATGCAGAGAATGGATCCTACCTCGGCCTCACTCTACCTCCCCCAGCAAAAAAGCCCTGTAAGTATTTATAATACCTATTAATTATAAAATAAAATAACCTACTGAAAGCATGTATGGATGTTGCAACTCCTAAAGCTGCAGCAGGTCTAGATTTCACATAATCATGATTCAGGTTTCAGGTTTATTATTGAGCATGAATTTTCGCTTTCAGTGACAAAGATTGTTTCGCATTTGCTGGTGGTGGAGCCGGAAAAGATCTACGCCATGCCAGATCCGACCATGCCTGATGGTGACATCAAAGCCCTGACAACCCTGTGTGACCTGGCGGACCGCGAGTTGGTGGTCATCATCGGCTGGGCCAAACATATCCCAGGTGAGGAGCAGCGAATGTGTTTGGATCGTCATCTCAAAATAATTATGAATTCAAACTTAATTCATACTACCTGAAGCTATAGGGGTATAGATCTACTGCAAAATCTAAAGGACGAAAGAGGAGTAGAAGGGTAGGTTTCTGTTTCTGTTTGTGTGAGCTCACTAAGGTAGTTCACCCTCCCATCACCACCTTCCCACTCACAGACATGCACACACAGGATAATTAACATCTGCTACTCATCTGCACCTCAGGGAGAAGCCAGTCCCATATTCTAAAATCTAATCAATAAAGAGCAGCTGAAACCTTTGATTTGACTGGGTGGGGTAGGGGAGTCTAGGGGCCGGGATCCGCCCCATGTCAATGTATTCCATTTCAATCCCACACTTAAAGAAAGCAATCCTCTTACTTACTTAAGGAGACCACACAGAGCCTGTGGAGGAATTGATTTATTTGGTAGAAACTGATGGACCCCCCCACCCTGCCCCCGCGCTTGCTGATTAATTCTTAAATAAGACATGTTATGCAAATGTTGACTTTTCTGTTGTTTTTGTCTCTTTTACTTAAAGCAGGCTCTTTGAACAAGAGCTTTTTTTAAACATAGAGTTAGATAGAAACATTTAAAGCTACGCAAAGCTCTTTATTTACTTGTCTTTTTGTAAAACCAAAAAACACTTTGACTCAGACAAACTTTATTGTCATTTTGTATGCACAGAGTCTATGCATACAGCTTAAAACTGTTTAATGATATTGCAGTTGGAGTAAGATAAATTACCAATATAAAGTGCAGGAGTGATCAGAGTGTAACAATGTAGGAGGAAAAAAAAAACTGTCTAAATAATGGTGCAAAAGGGCATTAATATGAAAAAATTCAGTGCAGTGCAAAACAACAATATTATGCAAAATGCAGTAGATACATTGAGTTGTGTCCTATTTAAAAGGATTATAAAACTTCAGCAACATTGGTAGTGCAAAATAATGTGATGCAGAGACGATTTTAGAGTTTAATAGTTGTTGCAGAACCTGCTGGACCTGCATCGGATGCTGCAAAGTCTCTTCCCACAGGGCAGCAGGAAGAACAGTCCATGGTGGGGGTGTTAGGGGTCACTAATGATCTTATGGGCTCGGGACACTTAGCGCTGGGATATATCGCTGGGAAATACTTTTCATTTATTTCTTTTAACGATATTGAAACAGTTGCATCTTCACATGTGTGTCTCATTACAAACTTAAACTAATGACTGATAACATACAGCATTTAGTGATATAATAGCACCTGAAACCCTAAATTCTGAAATTTAAATAAAAGAGAGAAAAAAACTGTATTTGCACTAATAAATTGATTTTGATGACATAATATCGAGACACAGCCACTTTGTTTATGATCTGCCTTAATCTGTATAGTTTTTATTAAAAAAGATTCAAACTTCAGTGTGTTTTGTTTTGTGAGTAATAAATCAAGACAAAGTGGTGCTTAATTATGAAATGGAATGTACATTTGTATGATTTTCCCAGTATTTTACTCAATCTTATTTATTCTATCGACTGACTCTGTTACACTTTGATTTAATAATATTCTATTCAGTTTATTTATATAGTACCAATTCACAACACATGTCATCTCAAGGCACTTTACAGTTTACCAGATCATACAGTCAAATTGATTCAAAGTTTTCTATCAAAACCAGTTGATTGCATCAACTCATTGACTCGAATGCAATCCCTCACACTAAGCAAGCATGTAGCGAGGGTGGAGAGTAAAAACTCACTTTTAACAAGAAGAAACCTCCAGCAGAACCAGGCGTCAACCTACCAAGACATAACTGTCCTCCTAAAGTGACAGACTAGGCAAGTAGAGTATTAATCAGATAAGAACAATCTGGAGGTACAGCTTATATTTGTCATGTACTTCACAACTTTGAAGGAGTGGCCAAACAAAAGCCATAAGACTGAACAATGTTAGGGGGGCAGCAAAGATGCAGGAAAGGATGATGTTTTAATATGGGACCAAACTTAGCTCTGCTCACCCAAAAAAAAAACATCCTGATGATTTAACATGGTAGTGGCACCATCATCCTGTGGGGATGTTTTTTTAATTAAATATAAAGCTGTAATTAGAAAATAAGCTCATAAAAGGAGGTCAAAGAAATAAACTGAACCCAAGCAAAAATGTAAACCAACTAAAAAAACAACAAAATACTGCCACACAGGAAAAGACATAACTGACCTCACAAAGAAATCACACAAGGGTATATATGATGGGACTATTAACAAACAATAGGGATAACTTAACAGCATGCAGTCACTAAATACACCAAACACCACATTGCAACAAAGCTTGCTAATAAACTAAGCAAAAAAAAAAAAAATAGAAAGAGTTCCTGAACATCATGTACAAATATTCTCTTAAATGGAAAAGCTTGTTTAACAAAAAGAAACTCCAAGTTCCCCCCTCTCTGGAAGGTAGCGGTGGTGCAGTCCAATCAGCCCACTGTATTTATTCCAACAAAAATTAACCGTGAGTTGAGAAAAATAAAAATACAAAGTAAAACCAATACACTCCGTCTTCCATTTTGACCTGCATGCTGGTCTTCCTGCTCTCTTTATAAACCCAAAATAAATAAACTTCATATACTTAAAATAAATACACTCATTAGTAATAACATTAACTACATATACTTTTTAATTCTAAATACATAAAGCCTGCAGTTGTGTATCTTAAATAAGTAAGCTAGAGAATAATGCAAGTCTTTTAGTTGTATTTGAAAATGATGCAAATAAAATCCTTTCAATTCACAATCACAATAAATTACTTTCAAGTTTTCGAGTAACACCAACAGATGAGTTCTGCAGGAAAATGATTGCATAGGATTTTATTAAGTCTAAATACAATTTTCGAGTGTTTGTAAAAAATATTTGAAAACCATAAAGTTATAGTGGAAGATTTTTGCAAATTTTTGAAAAGACCCATCCTCACAAAAAATGTACATGCACAACCCTGGACCCACGCCTGAGAGGGAACGCCTATTGAACACTTGCGAGAGCACGAGCCCATTTCTCCTCTTGCACGCTCTGCTTAAAAGTTGGTGTTTGCATTGCTCATACTAGTTTACTTTCCAAAATAAGATTTGCAATTTTTCCACTATGTCAGACTCACAAAGTGAAAATGGCGACGTGCACGTAGGATGGCCTCACTGTACATAAACATATAAACATAATGATTGACAAATAGGAGGACCATTTATTTTCATGATCCACCCTGAAAAAGAAAATCCGGCACTATACCTTTAAATGCAAAACCCTGTGTTTAGGTAGTGATTCTAGCGGAATACTAATGTAATAGATTATTCTGGTTGGAGCATTACACAATGTGGAGATAAATTAACTCTCTATAAATAATTCTGCACCTCACTCTTTGTTTTCCTGTGAATGTTGAGTAGTACCAAGTTCTTCCTTCCTATAGTGGCGTCACACAACTCAATTCATAATGCTGGATAGGTCATTTTATAGTGTAGGAATTGCCATAAAAAAAACATTTTTTATGCAAATTTGGTATAACTAGACAGTGATTTTTTTTCACAGATTATCTGACATACTACATGCTAACAACAACATAAGAATAACAGTATTTATTAATCATCGGCTAGTATTGCTATTAGGTTTAAGTTTGTGTTGGCACGTGGCATAGCAGCAGAGTGCACTCCCATACAAGCAGAGGGCAAGTCTCCTCATCACCGCTGTTCCAGGTTCGATTCCTGACCTTGGGCCCTTTGATGCATCCTTCTGCCCATTTCTTGTATGATCACTGCGAATAAAGACCACTAGTGCCACAAATTCTTCAAAAAAAAAATCCCCAGGTTTAATCATGAGCCCAGTTAAAAGCCTTTGAGTGTAATTCGGGGTTACATTACCTGTGTAGGACTATTGATCTTTTATGCTGCAACCATCTAAATCCAAAGCCGACAGAGATATTAAAGGGGCATGTGGCCCTCTGGGGACGCTTTACCCAGGGCCATCAGGTCAGCGTGTCACCAACTAATAATTAAGACAAAAAGGGGTCCCTACAGTTTAACAGTCCACGCCTACCATTACACTCAGCCCGCTGAGCAAATGGCCCTAACGATGAGGTAATAAGAGTCATTAGTGCAGATTGCTCCATTAATGTGGAAGTCCTTCAACATTCAGATAACGAAGAACCGGCGAAGAAACATGCTGCTCAGAAATATATTTTTTCTGCTTCATATTGTTATATTTTGAAGGGGATAACTTTGTTGAAAGACTATTTTTAAGTAATTCAAAGACTTTTTTTCTAAAGCTGTCTATTTAAGCTCAAGCTGTGATTGGTTCCTTGGTAGCATCTAAGTATGCAAACAGGTTAAAGACAATAGAGATGCTGCTGTCTGGAATCTGGACTGCTAATTTATCAAACAACTCTGTACATACATAAAGTAACCATGTTAAGGGTGCTGCTATCAGTCCTCACACGATACAAACATTACTGCCTTCCCCCTCTTACTTTTTTTTTTTTTTGCTTCAAACGTTCTCCCCTTATCTTACACACAGACACACACACACTCAGCCAGACTTCCTTGTTCTCCAGTTCCCCTGACTCTATCCCCTCCTCTCGCTCTTCTTCGCTCATATAGAGCCCTCTAGTCTCATTATTACCTCTGTCTTTTTATTAGGCCCATTAGGGCTCTTAGGAGGCCTGTAATGATGCTAAATGAATAGAGAGTGAACTGCTGTCTGTTTTAGACCCAGCTCTCAATGACAGCTTCAAGCTTCACTGCCAACCACTCACTCTCTTCACTGTGCTGAACAGGGATTCAATTTCTTATCGGATCTGTACTTGGGCTGTGCTGCTGCCTGGTCAGAGCCCTTTTCTTTGTGTTGAGGATTCTTGTAGCAATTTATGGAGGGTAGATGCAAAACAGGGTGTTTTTAATGTAGATTTATGTGGAGGATGCCGTATTTAATATGCAGTGATAAACCTTTAAGTCTGG